TATATATATATATATATATATATATATATATATATATATATATATTAGAGATATGCCGATCAGGTTTTTTCTTGCAGATTCCGAGTCCGATCACCCATAAGGGCCGATCACCGATACCGATCACATAATTATTATTTTTTTATCATAAACACTACCGGTTACATTATGTGGAAAAAGGAACCATGAATTCACCTTAATTTAGACAAAAACTTGTTTTTAATAAGTTTTTCCAAAAAAACAAAAAAAAAAAACAAGACAGGCATTGTGCAAATTGTACTGCTATTGATAATACTATCTTTAACAGACTGATAACATATGAAGGCTCTGAAGAGGCTAAATAACGCAAAGAGCCAAAATAAAACCTCTCAACATTGCCAAAAAATTCAAGTATAAAACTTAACATTCAAAGGCAAAAACAGGATCCGTTACAATAAACAATCCTGAGTTACTGAATGAAAACTTCCTGTTAGCATGGCGGCTAGCTGATTACTGCTAGTTCTGAGTGGCTTTCTGACTGAGCGGAGTAATTATGCAGATCAGGGAGGAGATCGATTATTTTTTCAGAGATTATCTGTCTCATGTTAGGACAGCAAAAGTTCTAATACATATGTAAAATCAGCTCACCGTCTGGAGGCTGAGCGGCTCCGTCTGGGAAATATTACCACCAGTAGCGGCGGTCCGACAGCGGGAGCAGAACCAGAACCAGCGTCTCACGCCGCAGCTAAAAGGCTTGAATTATTGTTGGGGTTATTTGTTTAGCTTTCTGAGCGTGATGCTAATCCGGTGAGTGTTGGTAGCTGCGCTGCTCTGCCTGCTGATGGAGCCGGATGCCTTTTGTTCCTGCATTGCAGCCAAACTCTGTCAAGTTCTTGTTTTTTAAATATCATATTAGATTCGTTGTGTTGATGCGTTATGACATGTTTCACCCTGTTTTCTATCCCAACACACAAATGTCCTCATTAACTCTCGGAGCATTATATTCCTCACGACTTTGCTAATTTGCTGCTGTGCCGGCGCAGTGAGAAGGAAAGAGGAGAAACGCTGCACTGCCTGGGAAATCTGAGATTCAGGTGATCGACAACAAGAGACAATGATCACCGATCAAACACATTTTCACGGAAGTAGGGAGATTATGATCGGTGGCCGACCCGCCTCTGGGACGTCCAGACGTTCTTACTCTGGACCGGCAGAGCGGCATCCAGTGGTGTGCCGATCCGGACCCCCAGCAGACGGGTGAAACGGTTCGGAATCGGGGAGTTTCCTGCAGTCAGGCGGCGGGTCAGCCTTGTTATCTGGACCAGAACCAGAACCAGTTGCTGATGGATACTGGTATCAGAGAGGCAGACCAGGGGTTCTGTTCCAGCCTGCTGGGATGTTCCTGCTGCAGGTCAGGTTGATGGCTCTGGAGGTCCAGTTGGCCGTCCCATCAGGACCAGCTCTCATGGGGTTCTGACCCAGAAACACCTCAAAACGTTAGACCTTAACAGAACCAGGAGGACGGGACACCTTTAGCCGGTTCACCTGGAATCTGCAGCCAATCAGCTGAGAGAACTCAGGCAGTGGCTTCAGGTCCAAGTGATGCTGCTGCAGCTTCGTCTCCATGGAAACGGACAATGAGATCAGCGTGAAGATGAACTGGGCTCGAACCAGTCTGTCCAGTTCAGTTCATTCTGCTAATCTGACCATCAAACTGATCAATAATCTGACAATCAGCAAATAGATTCATCAGCCAATCAGGATCAATCGACAGCCTGACAAATTAAACTGATCTTTAATGAAGCCATTTCATCTCCTGGCTCCTGATAGGCTCGCGCCTCTGGTCCCTCTGTGACGTCACTTCCTGTTATGTGTTCAGGTCCTGTGACCAACGCCGTCATCATGGCCGTCTCAGCTAACATGTTCCTGCCGGACAGTCGGCCCGCCGTCCCGCTGCCGCGCTTCAGCCGACACCTGCAGGCTCCTGAGGGCCCCGATGCCGAGGGGGGCGGGGCCTGGGTCCGCCCCGCCCTCCATACACAGGTGAGGGTCCACAGGTGAAGCTCCGCCTCCACTGGAGTCTAATTTAATCCGTTCATCTTAATTCTTAATTAGCTCCCTCTTAGGCCTGGACTGTACAGCTGAAAAACAAAACATATCACAAACAGCAAGTGAAAAATGTAACCAAAGAGTTGGAGTGTTGCTAGGTAACCAAAGAGTTGGAGTGTTAGTTGATGCTACCCAGCCTGTCCAGTCCTACTTCGTCTGCACCCTTCAACCAATTTCAACAGATTATTTATCAAAACCTTCAGCTGCTTCTGGAGAATTGCTCTATGACTTTTGCTGATTTCTCTGATACCTTTTGAAGAAATGTAACTTTTACATGAATTGAATTGCATTGAAATTCTTTGAAATTCCACATTTAGCAAAACCTTTGCTCTTTGACAGCTCACTACTTCTCCCTACATCAGCTTAGAAACTCCATTCAGCTTTTCAACAAGTCATCTGCAGATTTGAATTCTCAGATATTTTGCAAAGAAAAGCAATTTTTCTCATTAATATTGACATGTCATTTTCTTTTGAGTCATATTCAGTTGAGTGGAGTTTAAGTTTAGTTTGTTGATTGAACCTGCCAGCAAATTTAGTTTTGCATCATTAATTTATTTTATTTATCGAATTTTCCACTGTGGGACAGTAAAGGACACTTCTGTTCTATTTATTCTAAGATTGAAATTCAGATTTGATTTTCTGAACAACTCATTAAAAAAAATAAGACTTTTAGTTTTTGAAACTAATTTTCTTTGTCATTTTTTTCTATTTTTTCTAAATATGATCTGAAATAAAATCAGCTACAACAAAATGAGGTATTCATCATCATCATCTTCATCTTCAAGCCCAGATAGAAATATGATCAACCTTTAATTAGAATTCAACATTGAACTCTAGATGAACGTCTGATTTTTTCCAGATGTCTTAATTTGAAGGACATACAGTCCTGGTGGACCAAAGTCTTTTATTCTGAAAATAAACTTGTCTGTTTCCTTTCCTTTGACATCTTATTTTGAAGTCAGGCATGCTGCCATGGCTTTTGTGCTTTTATTTTGGCATGTTTCCTGTTTTCAGGAGGAGGAGGAGTCGTACCTGCAGAAGGCTGACAGGTTGTACTCCCTGATGCACGCTGTGAGCGACAAGGTGAGAGGGCGGGGCTTCAGGTTCTGGTTTGGATAAAACCATAGTGATGATGATGATGATGGTGACCTCTGACCCCTCCCTTCCCAGGCGCTCTGCGGTGATGGTGAGAACTCGGCGCTGCGAGTCGCTGAGCTGGAGGAGGAAGTCCAGACACTGAAGAAGGTCAACAAAGATCTGTTTGAGTTTTCATCTCAGCTGCTCACCAAGCCCACATGAGCACTTCCTGTCCTACAAAATAAAAGCCCCGTTTTGTATCAGCTTCCTGTGTGTCTTTCCTCCAGACCAACCAGGACCAACTTCCCTTTTTGCTTTTCTAAGGCTGAGGAAATGAAAGTTTATACTAGAAGTTTGATGAAATGATCGGCTGCATTTCTGTTTGTATCTTTCTTTCTCCGAGCCGTCAGTCAGGAGAGCCGGTTGAGGGGGAAAGGTCACCGGGTCGGCACAGTGACCTGGGGCGTTCCGCCCCGTGCCGCGCCAAAGCCCTGCCCACTTTCTCTAAACAGCTTCTATGTGACTTGATCTAGACAGTTTGACCTCTAATCACTCGGCTTCTTGTTCAGTTTATTTGACAAACTTGGCTTTGAATCACATTTAAGTTACTTCCTTGAACAAAATACTAAACTTTTTGTCTGTAATCTATTTAATATTAATTTATCTGAATAATTTCTAATTCATAGTTTAGGATTAATAATAAAATCAGATATTGATTTTGCAGCATATATGGTTAATTTAGCAAGTTTTAGAATAACAGGTAGAGACAGACTCACCACTGATGATGATGATGAAGGTCAACAGTGTTTCTAGAGGCGAGTTCTGATCAGTGACCTGAATGCCGAGACGTCCGATGGGATTCTTCCGTCTGCCGCCTTTCTGCATGGCGCACCTGTTAAAAGGGGCGGAGCTTCAGCAGGTCGACCACCTGAACAGCCACCAGGGTTATTATGGGATGCTTTAGGTCAACATCTGGACCTGACCTGGTTCCAACACACCTGCCTCAGGTGACTGACTGACCTCAGCAGTTCTGCTAACTAACCAAAGAGAACCAGTTCATCTGCAGGTGTTGGTCATAAATTAGAACATCATGTAAATGTTCTAATCGGTATTTCCATTCAAAAAGTGAAACTTGTATAACATTAATTCTTCAGAAGGTTCAATGTTTAAATGTTTTTTTCTTTTAATGTTGATAATTATAACACAAATGAAAACCCCAAGTTCAGTATCTCAGAAAATTTGAGTATCACTTAAGACCAAAACAAAAAAAGATTTTTAGAAATGTTGACCAATAGGAACCTTTCAGTGCTGAGTTCTTCCTTCTGCCTGGATTACTGCAGCCATGTGGCGTCCATCAGCCTGTGGCGTCCATCAGCCTGTGGCGTCCATCAGCCTGTGGGGTCCTTCAGCCTGTGGGGTCCATCAGCCTGTGGGGTCCATCAGCCTGTGGGGTCCATCAGCCTGTGGCGTCCATCAGCCATGTAGCTGTGCTCAGCTGTTGTCGGGGCAACAGGTTGCTCTGTTGGCCTTCAGCTTGAATGAAATGTCGGGTCGGGTTCATCACTACTTCAGTCCAACGGACCTTAAACCAGGTTCTGTGTTCAGCAGCCAAGTCCTGCTGGAAAATTAAATCTGCGTCTCCATAAAGTTGGTCAGCAGCAGGAAGTGCTGGTAGGTGCATTGACCTTTGACCTCTGAAAATACAGTGGACCAACACCAGCAGATGCCATGGCACCAAACCAACACTGACTGTGGAAACTTTGACTAGACCTCAAGCAACATGGATTCTGTTGCTCTGCTCTTCCTCTAGGCTGAGAGGAAATGAAGAATTTACTGTAATCAGAGAACAGAGCAGCAGTCCATCCTGCTTGGTTCAGTCCAGGTGAGATGTTTGCATCTGGTTCAGGTCTGACATGAGGAAGGCGACAGCTGCAACCAGGTCTGTCCCTCCTGACTCCAGCTGCAGGCCTCTCTCTGAATCTCCCTGATATTTTAAACAGTTTGTTTCCTGATCCTCTCCAGGACGGTTTTCCCTATTGTCCATTTGTTTCCACCTCATGGTTTCCTTCCTTCGCCTCTATGAATGTATCTGAACTCTGAACTTCTTTAGCAAAGGTCATCTTCTGGACATCCGTCAGGTCAGCAGTCATGTGACCCGCAGATCTGAACGGAGAGACAATTTAAAACTGTTTGCACTGAATTAATAATCTGATTAGTGTGGAGCATCAGGGGTCTTCAATACTAAATCTTTCCACAATATTCTAATTTTCTGAGATACGTAATAAACTCTAAAAGAAAAAAACATTTGAAATGTGCCAGTCTGCATGTAATGAATGAATATAATATACACATTTTACTTTGTGAATAATTTAAATAAACTTTTTCATGATATTCCAATTTTATGACCAGCACCTGTAAGTGAATCGGTTCATCTAAAGTGAATCAGTTCGTCTGAAGTTGTTTCCGCCTCAGAAATCGGATCCCGTCGTTCTGGATCTTTCTGTTTGCTGCCAGATGTTCAAACCGTCCAGATGTGATCTATAAATAAACGCTGCAACAGGAGGAACGGCGACACATTACAAATATTAAAAACAGGATTAAAACGATTCGTTTCATCTCGGAGCATCAGTGAGACAGGAAGCAGAGATCGCCTCACTTCCTGTGAACGCTCTCAGGAGGATCGCTGCTTCAGTCAGGAGCACACGGATTCCGCTGCAAGTTGGAGCTGCACTGCTGATCTAAATGTCTTGCAGTTTAATATTCAGATCACAGCAGCTGGTCACATGACCCATCGGAGACCAGAGGCTGATCAGGAACTGATCATTGATTATTGATCAGTTAGGATCAGCAGAACAGAAAGGATCCAGTGTTTCTGTCTCCAGGTGGTTCGGGTCCAGTTGGGTTTCTGTCCTAATGGCGGTTCTGTTGTATATTCTCCAAATTGAGGTGGAACCAGAACCAGAACTGGGTCAGAACCTGTAACCAGGTAACCAAGTGATCAGTTAGTCTCTGTCCTAGAAAAGAGCTGCTCTTTGATCTCTGAGAGCAGCTTAGCCTTCCTCTTCCTCCTCCTCCTCTTCCTCTCTCTCCTAGTTTCAGGATCCCCCGGTAACCCCCCCCTCACCCCCCTCCTCAGTCTGTTTCTGTTTTCCGCTGGAGCGGCAGCAGGAGCGGCGGGAGCGGCAGAGCGATGCTGACGGCGCGGCAGGATGTCTCTCACCTCTACGTTGTCCTGGTTCCGGACTTTCCGAACTCTCCGAACCTTTCTGGTCGTGCAGCTTCTCCTCGGTCCGGGGTGCCACCTCCACCCGCAGCCCTGCCACCTCCTGGCGCAGATCGGACACGCAGTGCGCGTCGGTGCGCTCCTGCCGGCGCAACGGGAGGCTCGTCTCCAGGTCCAGGCGGCGCTGAGCCGCACGGCGGCCGCTCTGAGCCGGGACCGGAACTGGGACCAGGATCCGGACCCCGAGCGGGTGAACTTCCTGCCCTACAACCTGAGCGTGGAGCTGGTGTCCCGGCAGCTGGCCGCCGCGGACCCGGAGTCCCTCATCCGGTGCGCGTGCCAGCGCGTGCTGGAGCGCGGAGTTTCCGCCGCGCTCGCCTTCCCGCAGAGCCGCGAGGAGCTGCTGCAGGTGGATCTGCTGGCCGCCGCGCTGCGCGTGCCCGTCGTCAGTCTCATCGAGCACGCGGAGCCGCTGCGCACGCAGGTAAGCCGCGCATGTTTACCTGGGCGCGTGCACGCCCACATGTTCCGTCCCTCCTCCGGTCGAGGTTCGGCTCTTCCGCTGTGACCTTGACCTGGTTCCGAATGAGGGACGCGGGCTGGCGCGCGCACGCGCGTGCTCTCCGTCTGTTGCTTAAAGATTCTGAACCGAACCGAACCGAACTTTGAAGTTTTATTTTCAGCCTGAAAGAGTTTGAACACAATGATCTGTTCTTAGCATCTGTTCGGTGATCGGATGGGTTCAAAGGTCACCTGGTGACCTCATAATGTGGAGCTGTGTATCATCCGCGTCGTCATGGTAACCAATCTTGTGGGGGAGCAGGGTCAACCCAAGCCTCCATGGGGCCCAGAACAGAGTCTGGTTTTGGGGCCCCTCTAGCTTTGACAATGTTTCCTGACTGCAACCAACAGATGATCAGGTGATTCACTCACCTGCTCCACTTATTATGATGTTGACATTGTACCTTTGATGTACGTATGGCCATCTTCTTAACTTGGGGGATCGGTGATCGGCCGATCTTACCCCCTGATCTGATTCTTCCTCAGCAAAGGTTTAAACGTCAGCCGCTGTTTGACTGAGCCACCAGGTCAGGTCTGAATGTTTAACAATATTCATTCCACTGTTACCAACTCAGTGACTTTCTTGCTACATTTAGCAACATTTCAGACAAAGAAATTGGTGTCGGTCAAAATCAAAATTGGCAGGTCAGGCTTTTTAAAGATCGGCAATCGGCCCGAAAACTCCAATCGGTGCAGCCCAACTTAAGATGGAACACACACATATTGATGACATTCTTTGATCAAATTAATTTATCTTGGATGTAATTACAATAGTTAAATGTAATTTATACCAGATGAGTCTTTCTCATCTGAGAATGTGGACCGGTACCAGTACCGGTCCACTAGGAAACATTGTTAGCAGATCAGTGATCAAACATTATTTTCACATTATATGTAAAAATAATGTTTGTTTTAGACACATAGATTATCAGCAGCAAACATCATGTCACCAACTGCAGCTCATTGATTTGTTAATGCAGGAAAAACATTTTGCAATATCAAACATCAAGAAGTTTAAACTATTATTATCAAATTTGATCAAACACGCCGTTTTGAAGCCAAAATAATCTCAGAAACATTTCGGACCAACCAGGAGAATCGACTCATTTAAAGTTAATATGACCATGCCGTGCGGTGCCAACCGCGGCCACCAGGGGGACTCCTAGAGCAATTTATTTTAATGTTTTGCTTTTTCTCCATATAACAAAGATTTCTACATACATTATCAAATATATTATTGTAAAAAAAAATCTGAACTTTATAATGAAGTTGTGTGTTTTTCTTAATATTATCACATGGAAATCATTACTAAACAAAAAATAAAAACTCAGTTCCACTTAGGGGCCCAGCGGCCCTAAGTTTGCTAATGCCTTGGGCCGGCCCAAGTGGCACCATGTAAATATTGAATCAGAGGGGTCCTCAGAAAGAGCCTTGCAGAACCCCACATGTGACCTCTGACCTCTCCCATGAGAGGATTCCTATTGAAACAAAGAAATCCTAGTTCTTCATGTCGGACTGGAACCAGTCCAGACCTGGTACCAGTCCAGACGGGTACCAGTCCAGACGGGTACCAGTCCAGGCAGGCCCCCATCCTGCTGGAACAGTAACCGACTGCCTCAGAACCCATCAGTTTGTAGAACCATCAGTTATGGACCCGGAGCTCGGCCGGGTTCTGGAGGAGATGGAAACCCAGCAGCAGGGTGGAAAAATTAAAATAAATCAGTTTTACGAGTGGCCTAGGGTTAGGAACATTAAATTTAGGGTAGACCAAAAAACACGCAGCTACATTTGCCCTGAACCCCCCTGGATCTGCATGAAATGGTTCGTTCCTGCTTAGCGGTGACGCTGTGCAGCAGCAGTCAGTACAAGACAAGATCGACTGTGGCAGTTACTATGCTGCCTAGAAAAATCATAAAGTTAGGTTTTCAAAAAAAAA